TATTTTAGTTGACCCAAAACGTGTGCAGTTTTAATCTAAAAATTCAGCTCTGATTAAGAATTTCCTTCTCCCCTTTCCCCCCCCACCCCGATCTGGATGCTTATTGCTAACTCTTCTTCCAGTTGAGAACAGTAACTGGCACATTACCACCCACAGAGACTCTCTAATGATCCAGGGGAAAGTTAATCACACCGTACCATCCCATAAATCACAGCAGTTGGTCTGTGACTTACTCAGCCCTAGAGAGGGCCAGATCTTGAGCTACCAAATGAGATTTTTTTTCTTTCTTTCTTTCTTTCTTTTTTAGCAATAGGACTAATTTTATTCTTTCATTTCACCTATTGAATCAGTCTGAGGCATCATAATAGCCCATAAACTACCACATGGGACATAAAATGTCAGGTCTCTGCACAGAAACAACTTCTGCTGCCTTTTCGAGCTTCCCCTGCTACGATGTGTTCTGCTTAGCCCAAGGCATTTCAAAGAGACTGCATATGTAGACAGGCATGTCTATCATGGCAGCAGAGCACCTTAGAGGGGTAAAGCTTTTGCTGTTTTTTCCCTGCCAATATTTTAATGTTAATTATTTCTTGGGAAAATTCCTATTCAAAGCATGCACAAGGACATGCAAACACACACACAAAATTCCTACTCATATCCACTCTGCTTATGGCTGAAATGTTGTGGTGTTGTGATATACAATAATTACAAAAGGAAATCAGACACTCAGTCAGCACCAGATAAGCAGAGGGCTCTTTTCCTTTTCCCAGGATGCTATTGTTGACATCGAGCTGTGCTGAATAAGGAGAGTAATGGCACTCAGAGGCCAATAGATGCTGCACCTCACAAGCGCCCATCCTTCCGAGCACTCACAACATCCCTTAACTATACTGAGAACTGAGGATTCAGTTCCGTTTACGATAAAGGAATGAACACATTAACCCAACAAAAAGAAAACATACAGTATAGAATGATCGAAAAGAAAAACTCTCCCATAGAAATCTTTTCGTGGCAACAGACACTACATGAGGTTTATGGTATTTACCTGACAATAAAACAAAACCAACTTCAGATAGCTTGCTGTGGCTCAACACCTCCCTTTCCTCCTAGTTTTCATTTTAGCCAAATGGTTGAAAACATCTGGGGATAGATTTAACCAATTCTGACTTACCGTCTCACTTACGGCAGTTACCCCATCTGAAAACTAAAATCCTTCTTAAAATTTAGTGGCTGTATGGCTGAGGTACAAAACAGTAAAGCGATCTCTCAAGATCACCAAGTAGAACCTGAAATCTCTGTCTTTCCTTAACTCCAGCACAGACTGTATGACTCTGAGCTAGTACATGTCTCAGAGTCTGGTTCTAAATTGGTGTGAGAATATCAAATCCAAAAGTCTGAGACCAATAAACACAAAGCATTAAAATTCTCTTTCATAAGAAATTACTGCAATACAAAGCATAACATTAAGACTTCAAAACAAAAAAATTAGTTGCCAAGTACCAACTATAATTGAACAAGATCTAGTTCATATCTTTTTTTTTTCTTTGAAAGAAAGTTCTAGTTTAGTGCCTGGTGCAGCATTTCATGGATCACTGCTGAATTTTAAGACATGAAATGAGTCAGTACTGCCCTTAAGAGGAAGTCTGTGTCAGTAAGTCGCTACTGTAACTGAGATGGTCAAAGGATGCAGAGGCAAAGTGCGCAGAGACAGTTAGCATCTACGGTGAGAACAGTTGGTACGCTCAGAAAAAAAGCCACACGTTTTCAGGCTCAGAGTCCCCTAAGCAAACGTTAGCATAGCGTGCAATAAGCAAGTGCAGGTGAAGCTAGCAGGAGAGAAGATTCCCCTGTAGGAACACGAAAAGCGTACAGAGTCTCCCGCTGCAAACCAGCACCAAGTCTGGTTCCGACACAAGAGCCTCTGAACACACTCGGCACACACCCATCACGTGGGTGCTTCACACCTAGGGGTCTGGCGCAGGCACCACGTCACACAGAGCTCACCAGTGGGACCTCAAAGGACAAGCCCAGTCAGGAGCTGCTGGGATTCACCCTGCTGAGATGTTGTGACATTTCAGGGTCTGCTGGCAATTGTCTGCAATTAGCTCTAGGAGTTTGAGTTTACTCAGGCAACTCCTTCCAAAACTTGGTGAAGAGTAAAAGCAGGCCTGTATCTTTTCGGTGATTTGGTGCTGAAAACTGGCCGCTTGTCTTTGTTCAGGTGAGGCAGATGGGGTTGCCAAAAAACACTCCACAGGAGGGGTGATTTGTGCTGATTTACTGCTTTCAGGGAGAAGTAGATCAGTCCAAGTTTCCACCTCATCATAGGCTTAAAAATGAATCAAAGCTATGATTTCTGTATTTCTGTACTATGCTTTTATGCATTTTGGAAATCATGGGGTACAAGAAAGTGAACTGCAAAACACAATTCTAGCCCAAATTAAAAAAACCCTGGTAGTTTTATTGCAGATTAGCACCTAACACACATCCTGGATGCTAGAGCTGGAGATTCAACATTCACAGCAAAATCCTGTTTTCACAGTCCTGGATGTAATGATGGCCTTAAAATGCACTCTCCCCGCCGCTCCCTGTGAGCCAACAGAGTCTAGTTAACCCAAACCTAGATGTTGCCAGGGTTTCTTTTGTTTTGGTTTGTTTTGTTTTTTTTTTCCCTGATGCAGATACAGCCTGAATGACTTGCAACTTCATTAACTCTGGGCATGCAGATGTTTTCAATGGTTTCTTCTGGAGACAGTGTTTGGCAAACTCAAAATTATTTCCTATCCTTAATCATCCCTGCTCAGTCGGGATCGAGGGAGTAAGTCACCTTATAACAGCAAGGTGACATTGGAGCTGAAGACTATTTCCCTCTCACTGTTATTCAGCCTGATGGCTGTTTTACTGCTACCCTGTGTGAACTGATCCCCTCACACCAGGCTCTTAAAAATTAAATGAGATGTCAAAAATACAAACACTATGGAAAGATACAATTTCTAGTATTTTATCCAACTTCTAGTGGGACTGCACTCTCTCCGCTCTTGTTAACACTGATCACAGACTTGGTAGCAAGATGCTCTGCTTCAATACACCTATTGCTTTCTTACTTTCCCCCAGCACAGGACATAAAGAAAAGTTACAGTGTTCTGCTATGTTGTGAAGTTAAGGTCCTCTAATGATGTACAGTCCACAAGAGCAGGCCAAAGAAACATTTATTAGGAATGATATGGAAAGAGAAAGATTGAAGAAAGAGAAACCTTGAAGAAAGGTTTTGGATTTGATTTTGCTGGCCCTGGCCTATGAAGTCAGTGTCACTTAAACCGTAATGTCTTTCTTCTTTAACAGTTATAACATTAATTAGGACAAAATCTAATTCACAAACTGGAGCTGAATGGTGGAATTGGTTAATAATGTATGATTAAACAATAGTAAGCAAGGTCACTGCCTGACTAAATATTCAGTTATCAATGATTAGATTTTGTTGGTCGATCTCTTTAAATGGCTTGATTGGAGATGACCTCTTTCTTTTAGATTAAATGTCTGCTAAGGCTGAGTTGTTATTGATCAAGAAGCTGACCTTACTGCCAACATTGGTGTTCCCACATTACTAATCTCTTTGCATATGGTGTGCACGTAGTCGCTAAAAAACTTCAAAGAGATTCAATCAAGTTGACGGTTGTTTGGTTAATTAACAAGGTGCCATTTTTTGGTATTCCAGACTGGCTGCTCTCTGCTTTCTTAGAGAAATCACTCTCAGCATTCAATTAAAAGAAGCAGGCAGAGAAAAAAGACTTCATAAAGCTTGCATTCTACAGGGTAAATCTTGTCCTGTTTCCCCAGACAAAGGGAAAAAGGGGGGTTTCTGCTCCCATAAGTAGAGGAACGGTGTAACAAAAAGAGGGTGCTGTTGCCTTGCTGCATCCTGCAAAGTGGGCTTAAGACAGTGGGAGAAGGTGCTTTGCAAAGCGTCAAGCACAAGAATAACATCAGGGAGGCTTTAAGCTATCACATCTCCAACTGGTTGTCTACAGATAGTTCATATGACCAAGTGATAATAGGCAAGAATTTGTCTTTAGGACATAAGGTCGCATATTCATCTTGTATCTACTAATATTCCAGCAGCTACACTTCTCTTAGGCTGCACGTTACCATAAAAGCAGTTAATACTAGTCTTTACCCCCATCCTACAAAATTCTGCTTTAACTCTTTCTCTAGAAGATAAAACAGCAGTTCTTTCCTGGAGAAAACACCCAGCCATGCACCAGGCACATAGTCCTGAGATCGTATCATCTTCAGAAGAATGTGGTCTTGTCTTCATGTCAAATGTCATGTTCTCAGGAGTGAATTTTTCTCTTGGTCTGTCTTTGAGTGGTAGGAAACTCTCTTTTCAAAAGTCAACAGGGTTAAGCAGGTCAGGGTTCAAGGTCTACTTAGGGAAAAAAAAAAAAAAAAACAAAAAACAAAACACCACAAAACAATCACCAACACAGGGCTATACAAAAATCTCAACTAATTCTACAGATGCATGCAGCTGCAGTAAGAAACAATTTAAACCACCACAGAAGTCTGTTTAATCTGAGAAATTTCACAAATCATGTACAAACTCTGCCACTGAGTTTTCTCTCATTTCCTGGGACACTTAAGAAATAATGCCAATTGTAATAACTCAGCTGTGACAATATACAATTTGCATAATAGGATTTAGTTCTTCTATCTGTCTGAGATTTTTACACTGACTTCATCCACGATATATGAGCATCTCTCTCAGTAATCTGCTCTCTGGCTTTTTCTAGATTCAAACTTCCAGCATTTGCAGCAAATGGATCCAGATAGACAAAAATTCTTCAAGTGTCAAAATAACCAGTTAGGTCAGTCTCCTCTTTGAGTTACCAGAACATATGAGTCTGAGTGGTACTGTCTGAAGCAATTTTGTGAAGATGCAACATGGCTGAAGTGTCTCAGCTAGTCTTTCTAGTCTACCTGAAAGTATAAAGTGAACATACCACTGCTCAAAAGCCATTTTCTCTGCTTTTCTTCACAGATTTGTCCTCTTTTTATATTCACTTTCTTCAAGTCAAGTTCCGAACTTCTTATCTGTGATAACCATATAATAAAATTCAAGGCCAGACTTGGTTAAATGCAGAGTTCCAAGCAAGATTATTTAGAGGTCAGCACTTTAAAACACAAAACAAAACAACAACAACAACAACAAAAAATACCCAACCAACCAACAAAAAAAAAACAGCAACAAAACCCCTGCTCTTGTCTAAATGGTACATATGGTGTTTGGGTATGGTTATTCTTTTTAAGCAACCTTAGATACAAGAGAAAAAAATATTTAAGAAAGTTGAAACCTCGAGAAGCAGAGTACTTCAGCTCATATTCAGTTTCACACTCAGTCTCTGAATTAGCTGACTGACTGCTGTTAGTTTTTTGTATTTCAAGATTCAGTCTTTAAAAAAATTACAAAGAGATGACTGCTCAGTGCAGGTAAGCTCCTACAAAATGTGTTTCATTTTGTGACCAAAAGAACTATAGCAACAAGTTTGGAATTAATTTTTCAGAACTGAAATGATTGATACGCATGTCATGTATAAGATAAAAATCAGAGGGGTATTTGCTGATGTCAGTATAATACTTTCAGGGTGATGTGAGGATCAAAATGAAGGAAGAAAAGACAGATTAGGCCATTTTTAAAAATAGCATTTTTCAGGTTAATGTAGCTACTGTCTTTGTTGACAGTGAATTCTAACAGTAGTATTAGGAGAGTGGCATGGCTCATGAGGTCATGGCAATCTCTGCTTCAACAGTATGCATGTATGGTTATAACACGCTACTTACAGAAAGTCAAAAATTATAATAGTTTAACGGAGCCAGTTTCTCCAGGATTAGCATCTCAACACAAAGACACTCCCAGATTTCTCTCTTTTAGGCACAGATTCATTAAGAGACCAGTGGGGATTGTGGTCCACCTGTTAGCTCTGCCTACTGCAGGGCATGCTCCCGCTGGAAACACATGGAGACACCTGCGGAGCACCTCCTCCGAGCTGCTTCTGCGCAGAGGTCTGGGCTGTCCCCACCCCACCTCTCGTCATGAGCCAGCATTGCCTTCCTGGGACTCCACCAGACGTAACAAGGCTGAGCATGGCATGGCACAGCATTTTTTTTTCTCTCCAGGCACGGCGATGATATCATCAAGCACTGATTCTCAATCATTTAGTTGCGATACGTTCTAAACCAAAGCATGTGACTCGTCATAAACGCGGATGGAAACTGTGGAAGGAAGTTGCAGTGTTCCTGGCCAAAGCAGCACGGTTTGCAAGTGCATACGTTACATGCTGTGTGATCCTTGGAAGGAAATGAAGATGAAAATTAATACAGATCTTTTAATATAGTCCAGGGAAGGTAATAATCTATCACCACACAATCGGACAGGTGTTTACATCTGTAGAAATATTTACTCTTGTTAAACAAAGAAAGGCAGAGTCTGTAAGCACAATAAACAAAGTTGTTAATTCAGCAGACTGTTCTGAAAATCAAGACCCTAATTCTTTAGCACTCTTTATCTAGCACCTGTTTAGTTACCTAGATGACACACATATATTAGCCCTAATTCCAAATGACAGTATCAATAAATACCATTCAGCACTAAACTCTTCCTGTGCCTTAAAACAAAGAAAGGTTTTCTTTAACCAACATTTAAGATCCCTCTAAGGCTTGCTGTTGCATTTGCTCTCATAAAGTAAGGAAGGTTTAAATTTATTTATTTAATTGAAACAAATTTCCAAAAAAGTACCAATTTCAAATTTCTAAGTAATTTTTCAAATTCATAATTTTACAAATAAAATTTGAATTTTCTCCCATGGAAAGTGTTCTCAGATGTCCACAAAGGACTTAAATGTGCATTTTGGACAATCACGCTATGGAAGAACTGGAAGGAAGTTCCTCTTAATTTACAAGTTTGTTGTGTAATGTTTATATTACCTTTTTTAAAAAAATAAGCAAATTCCTGAGGCATTGTTTCAAAAAACAAAACTCATCGAAAAAAGTTAAAATGAAATATTTACATCGTCCCTTTTTCTGGGCAATAAATCAGTAACCCCTTCACTGAAATATTTAATAAATGCAGATTTGTTATTCATTGAGAAAAAAAAAAAAAATGTTTTGGCTGAAAAATACCACCGGCATCTGCAGTTCTACCTCTACTCTACCTGCCCCCATTCCTGAGCGCACAACAGAAATGCAAAAACCTAGGCACTGTGCATAAAGTGGCTTTACTGGGTCTATTCAAAGACAGACCGAGGGGAAGAAGTCACAGAGAATTCCCATTGCAGGGCCCCTTTCAGCACAGGCATTTGCACTGAGAACTGGCTGCTGGGTCCTCCTCCTCCTCAGGACACCAGCCGTGGTGACACAGTGCGTGAACCCTCCAGCTCACAAAGATCCTCTGAGACTCTGCACATCGGCTACATCTCTCTTACCACTTTCCCTTCCATTTAGCACCACAGGAAACCAAGGAGGCCAGGGAATGGTTTTTACTCACAGCCCAAACACAGGCAGCAGACACTCAGAGCTAGGTGTACCTTGCCATAAGGTTGCCTGAAGTCTGTCCCCCTCCCGCCCACAAGTCACTCTGTGGAGACAAAAGTACATGCCAAACAACAGAAGAGTCTTATTAAAAGACTAAGTTCAAATAGGAAGTAAAACTTTCTGCCCCACAACAAAATTGGGAGGTAAAACTGTTCGGCAACTTTCTGTTGAATGTTTGTTTATTACCCAAGACACAGGTCTGGCTGGTAATTGCTGCTAGATACACATTATTTTAAACAATAAAAAGCTGCTTAAAAAATAATAAAGCTGGCCTGGAGAGAAGTATTGATTTGATTATTTTATGCCTTTGGGAGCAACCTGGGTTTAATCTACCAGTGCTATGGTATAGATATTTGTAATGCATTTATTTTTAGAAATGTTAACATAGAACATATTGGTTTTAAAGTTATACCTCAGTGGGAAATAACAAGATGTCTAACAGAAAAGAACAACTATACAATATTGCCTTGAATAATTTTCAACCCTATGAGGTAGAAATCTTCCTCCAAATTCAATGTCATGAGCACACTGCAGAGGACACTTAACAGTGAATTACCTTCAAGCCTAGAAGCAAAGGTCTACCCGCAGTAAGGGGTTAAATGTGAGAAGTCTGAAGAGACAGATGCTTATCTTAAAAAGCCACTGAATAAATATGAGGCAAGCTGTAGCTTTCTGCTGACCTCCTAAGTGGTGGGGATTGGGAAAGAAAACAACAGGAAGAAATTCAAACAAAATTAACTCCTGTAAGATAGTAAAATTATTCAGGAGGTGTGGAGGAATGCTAATGCTTTCAAACGCATCCACCTTTTGCGCTACCCTTGAACAAGTAAGGAAGGTCATGCACCATACAGGCAAGCATCTGGAGTCTGCTTCTCTGAACAGCCCCCATCTACTTGTCCCATACTAGCTGGAATCAATTCTCACGATCATCTTGTCTGAAGTGCTGATATCAAAAGCACCAAGTGACATAGAAGGCATAGCAGCCCCATCTCTACTATGTCCCTGGGAATAAGGCAGAGTCCTGGAGACGAGACCCTCCAAAGCTACGTGCAACCTTAGAACAAAAGGGAGGGAAGCAACCTGAAAGGTAAATTAGAAAAGCTCTGTAGATCACAGCGCTGGGAAACTCACCTGCCTTTCTGTGCTAACAAAGAGGAAAAATACCACAGAGGCTCAGTCTTCCTGAGCTCTGGGGAATCAGGCCAATTTCAGTGAATTGTTCTAACCCCAGCTTTGGGATCCCTCTAGAAAGTCAGCTGTTGCAGCTCACTTGCTAAACCTGGACACCCTCAGGCATAGCGTGAAGGATGTTTTCAGTCCCACACGGATTGAACGGCAGCTCAGGGCAGCAAATACTTAACATGGCAGGATCAGGCGAAGGTATTAGCCTGCTGAGCAACTGTACAATACCTTAACAGCCTTTGTGGCAAAGGCAGCTGGTCAGGCAAAAGTGCCCCACAGGCTGCATTTGAATCACAGGTATGCCCGGCCACACACTGAAGAATACTGTGCGGTCAGGCATACTTGTGTCTGTAGGGACACACAATATGAGGGGGTAGGGGAGGAAAAAAAAACTAATTTATAGCCACCTTCTGTGAATGTTGTACAAAGGGCTCCACAACATCTTCCCCTGAAGGGATGGGTAGAGAAATTTAACAGGCAGCTCAAGAATTTCACAAAGACACCTGTAAGTGCTATAGTTAACTCACAGACATTCTGATACTAATTCCACATGTGGAAGATGACTTGGCTTACCTTCACTCCCCCTTCTATGTTTCTTTTTTCAAAATAGGCTCTTACTGAGGCATGCATTCACTATGGGAAGAGAAGCAGGGAAACCGCAGCTGAATGGCAGATTGATTTATTTTCTTTGGGGGTTAGAAATTCATCATGGCCCATTGTTAAAGGTGTTTTCCAGTCATGCTAACCTTTGGCTTCTGATATCATCTAAGACCCTGTCAGCATCTTAAGGGATGCTCTTAGCTAGATGTCTGATTGCTCTCTCTTTTCATTTTCCCTCACCTTTTCTTTCAGTTCTGCAAGGAAGTGATGCCTCTATTGGCTTATGATAGGAGGAAAGCTTTTAGATCTTTTCTTTATGAACGCCATTCTCAATTCTCATTTAAATAAGCTAAACTAAGACAGTGAAGTGGTCAAGTGTTCCTTAAGGAGCTGTATTTTATGAGCAACGAGCACAGCTGAGAAAGACCTATGTAAGAATAGATACGGACCTGTAAAAACTAGATTCCGCTAACAGAATGGACTACAAGAAATAGGCAAATTTCTAGTAGAGACTGAAGCAGATAGTGAGAGGACAAAGAGTCTGGGATAACATCAAGATGCCTGAAGAGGCTGCACATCCTGACTTCGGCTGGCAGTGAAAAGCAGCCACTGCCCTTCCGCATTACTGAACACTTTTCCAGAGGACAAAGCCGCACTGCCAGGACGTTGCAAGGCGGCGGCTCTGACTGACAGCCCAGCTGAGCGAGCACAGCCTGGGCACC